CCTGATCCCTTCGACACCTCGTGGTTGCATAGGCTGGTGTGCTTCTTCCATGTGGGCTTTGTTGCTTCTGAGCTAGATGGCCGCTTGATTACCTTCAAGCCTTTAAGACCCCAGACGCTATACTTCCAAAACCCTAACTTAACTGCCTTCAAGTCAATTAACTCTCTGCAACCATAGAGAACAGGGAAATGCCCCAGTAGACTCCCCAAGTACATAAATCTTTATGGGACTACAAAGTCTCATCTTTCTCCTGCAGAACTTGCAGTTTCAAACTGCTGACCTTGAGGTTAGCAGCCTAACGTGTAACCCACTAGGAACCCAGAAAAACTGCGGCATCATATGAACATGAAACATTATTTCTTATTGGTATTCTTGTTAGTATTCTACCCATAATCACTAGGGCAGGCAGCTTCGGCGATGGCTCCCAGTGATCTCCAGGCACTGTCTGTCTGGCCTTGTGTCATTAGAGCCCTGGAAGTACGGGCTGGACTGACGGCCAATGATAGGCAGCTACTTCTGAGATTAGAAAACAAGACATGTTAACTTAAAATTCATGTTTTTCTCATTTGTTATTCATATTAGATAGGATATATAAAATCAATTGCTTGGTCTATTTTAAGAAATAATTATATTCCCATAAGATGAAAGAATGAAGTATGGCTATCCCTATTTCCTGATGAATATCTGGAATGTATAAGGCTAAATGGACCTTCAGGCCACTAGGTGGCAGCTAATAGCTTTACACACAGTCTGAAAAGCTTTTAGGATTTTGCCATATAAATCTGAAAACAGCCAATGTAATAGATTGTATTTAAATGCTACTTCTCGAGGGTAAAATATCACACTTCCTGCAAAGTACCATCAAAAATCGTATTCAGAAATGCTTCACTTTGCAGTGATGTGCAGTAACTCAAAGAGTTCAATTCAATTCTCTCGCTCTAGCTTCACTAGTATGCGGTGCTTCAGATTTTTTTCTGCCAGCTTTCTGAATCCTGGTTGGTTGTACATGAGGGCTGCTGATTGCATGCACGCCTTGGCTAGATGCTGCCAGGCCGAGTCTCTCCACCTGCAATAGTGAGTGTACTCTGGGAAGAGCAGATGATGACACCTACCTACACATGGTGTTTCAAAGCCTATTGTAATTGCTCTGTTCCATAGCTGTTCCTTGTATTTTACATTCTGAGCTTGACTTGTTTAATGGCTCTTATTACTTCTTATATTGTAACATCCTTAGAAAAGATCAAAATTATAATAGCAAAAACAAAAACATGTATTTGTCAGTACTTAATGTGACTGAAGAATTCACTTCACGCCATGGAGTCATTCCTACTCATAGCTACCCTAAGCCTAGAGGATAAGGTAGAACTGCCTCTGGGAGTCTCTTAACTCTTTATAATAACAGAAAGCTTTATTTTTCTTCAATGGAGAGGCTGGTGGTTTCGAACTGCTGACCTTGAGGTTAGCAGCCTAACATGTAACCACACCACCACCAGTTCCTTAAGCAACTAAATAAAGTACTATTCTATTGTTGTGCAGAGGATAAGCAAACAATTTTTTCATTAAGATAAAAAATAATAACATAAAAAAGTACTAACGTTCTGACTGCACCGTTTGGAAACTCCTGGTCCTCTGTGCTCCCACAACCCCACCCCGGGCTGA